ACACGGTTTGCAGGCAAATGGATGGATCTAGAAAAAATCATCCTGAGTGAGGTAACCCAGACTCAGAAAGACAAATATGGTATGTACTCACTCATAGGAAGATGCTAGATGTGGAACAAGGATGACTAGACTGCTACTCACAACAGTTATTTTTTTAATTCATTCAGCTTTGAAACAAACAATCTGAGCTCCAATGATACTCTTTGTAGGTGCTCCAAGATTTATCCTGTTCTGCAGGTAGGAGCAGACAAGATTAAGAGGTTTAGACTTCATAATATCAGATTACTTCTCTATAAATGGACATCATATTGATAGATGTGTAATAAGAAAAGTTGTTTGTGGGTCCAAGACACTCATACAAACTATGCTGGGCCCTTAAACCAGAAGTCAAATGTCCTTAAAGAACCAGATTATCAATATATTAGCATGTAATTGACAAGATTAATTATACAAATGCTTATTCACTAGTCATCATTCCAACTATGTAGTTAAGACTGCCTACACTTTCTTTTTTTAATTTTTAATTATATTTCATTTATTTATTTTTGTGTAAGTGTGTGGGCACACTCATGTCATGGCATGGGTAAGAAGGTGAGTTGGCTCTCTCTTTCCATGGTGTCGCTCTCAAGGATTGAACTCAGGTCATTGAACTCAAGGACTGAACTGGCAGGCACCTTTACCTTCTAAACTGGCATTCCACTGACCCAAGACTGTCTACAGGTTCTATTCAGCTGAGAGTTAGAACTGTACCCCTGTTGGTCTGACACCAAAGCCCATGGTTTGTAAACATTATGTTCCCTAGTCCTTGAAGAGAAAGCAAATGAGTCATCATCAAACAAGCATAATAGCATGAATCTCGAATGTTTTCAAAGTCTCATGTGTGAAAGGGCTGGTTGGAAGTCTTGGTAAGGTTAGGGAGCTACAGTAGTGTTAGGAGGTAGAACCTAGAAGAAGTTGCATCATCAAGCATGTGGCCTTGAAGGGGATGTTGGACCCCTGCTCCCCTTTTCCTCTCTACTTCACAGCTAAGGAGAGGTCCACACACTCTGACAGCCAGACATTCATATGCTGAATCACACACAAGAGAGGAGACCAGAGGACTGTAGCCTCAGACCTCTGAAACCATGAGCTGAGAGGAATCTGTCTTCCTTGCTATGTTGTGTTTCTTGGGCACTTGTCACAGCAACAGAAAGCCAACTCTACAACCTTAACAAATCAACCAACAAATGCCATTGTAAAGATTGTGGCTAATTTTGAAATGGCAATTCTTTCTTCTGTTTTCTTAAGCACTATGACACATTTTCAATAAATTATTCATTCATCACCACTATTTAGGTGAGGGGAAAGCAATACCAGTTGGAAGGAAATTCAAATGACTGAGGAAAATTAAAGAATTATCCAATGTTATTTTGGAGGACTAGATGTTGAGCCCAGGGTGACATAAGCTTGGCTTCCATGGAATAAGTTCCTCAATGTGAATATGGTGAAGAAGAGGAAATTTGAAGAGAGTTTTCTTACTATTTCACATGCAGGCTCTCTTAGACTGGTGTGTATGGTGGGGGGGGGGGTCCCCGCAGGGAAAGTCTGAGATGTGATCAGCTTTCTTTACTTCTTAAATCTCTCTTCTTCTTCTTCTTCTTCTTCTTCTTCTTCTTCTTCTTCTTCTTCTTCTTCTTCTTCTTCTTCTTCTTCTCCCCCCAACTCTCTGTGATGTGTGTATGTGTACATGGGCAAGGCTGGGGTGCCACAGTGCATGTGTGGAGGTCAGAGGACAACTTTGGATGTCTAGCCTTGCTTTCTACATTGTATGAGACAGCGTCTTATGCCTACTATGTACAGCAGCTTTGGAAACTGTCCATCTCTGCCTCCTACCTCCCTGTAGTGGCTCTGGGATTACAGATGCAAGCTTTCACTTCCAACTTTTATGTGGGTTCTGGGGATCCAAACTGTCCTCACACCGTGTGCTTTTCAGCTACACTCTTCCCCAGTCTATGATGAGTGTTCTTAAATGTGATGGCTAGCTGTCTCTAGCACTGGACATTGTCCATAGCAATTACATAATGAAATGTTGTCCAAGTATCTCCTCTGTCTTGCAATCCTCTACCCTCATTACTAGTCTCAATCAATGGGAAAACTTTCCAGGTCAGATCAAGCATTATGGTATTCCCCTCATATAAGTAGCCTGGTCTGTATGGAAACTGAAGAAGCAGAGAGAATATCTTTAAGAGGTATGCATCCATACTAGCAGAAGAGCTCAACCAGCAAAGAGCGTGGCTTAGTAGCATGATAACCTGAGTTTGATCTCCAGAACACTCTCTCTCTCTCTCTCTCTCTCTCTCTCTCTCTCTCTCTCTCTCTCTCTCTCTCTCTCTCTCTCTCACACACACACACACACACACACACACACACCAAAAAACAAAAATCAAAATCAAAATCAAAAACAAAAACAAAAACAAAAACAAAAACTGATGTGTGCTTGTAATTCCAGAACTGGAGAAGCCTAGACAATTGACACTCTGAGCCTCTCTTTTCTGGCCCTCTCTACACACATGAAGTATGCATTCAGGAATTTCTGCTGAATTCTTTGTTATCATATTTCTCAGAAGACCAACATCTTATAGATATAAGTTTCTGTGTTAGGTCTAAGCAGCTGGACATCTTTAAACACAAACTCTCCCTGATTTTACTGCAAAACAGCAATGCGAGACAGGCTGAAGTCAACTTCTACGGTCAGTCGGCGTGCTTGGTGTGTTTTGCGTTTTCTGTCTTGTTTATGAGGATCATCCCTTTCCAGTTTATAGAAGTGAAGCGGGGGAACTGTTTCTTTCCTTCTTTGCCAAGCTGGTTCCCTCCTTAGAGAAGAAAAGCTGTGCAGGGCAACGCAGCAACTGAGAAACGAACAGCCCCCCAATGCTGCCTAGGCTGCCAACGCATTTCCTGTTCACACCTAAGCATGTCATTCCTCAACACTTCCTGGAGGTCAAGAGGTTAGTGAAAGCATGCCTCCCAGAAAGAAGAAGAGCTCTTCAACCTGACCTCTCCAGGGGGCTCCCTCCAAGTGCTGAAATAGTTCAGTGGAGAGAGCAGACCATCCAAAGCTCAAGGATGATGTGGCTTCTAAGCGCTTTTCCTCCTGCGTCCAGAGGCCTCACTTGACTCCCTCGGTGACTCACACACAGCAGGCCTTGTTAGTCATAGTTTGAGTCTGTTTTTCTTTCTTCATCGCTCACCCCGACTAACAGTTTAGTATTTTTGATGATCTAAAAATAAAAGCAACCTTCTGCCCTCTATTTGGATCATTTTGCCCCCTTGCTGGGTTTTAAAAGATCAAAGGGATGAGTTCAGATTATTGTCATGACCTTTTACTAAGGTATGCTCAAAGACTACTGGTACAGTGGCCTTGCAAGTTTACCCGTGGCCTGTATGGATCTGACTAACTTTGTATTGAAAATATTTTCAAAAGTATGTTTATGTTGAACATGTATGAGATTTTTTTTTAACCTGTCATTATCCCCTAAATAAAATTGTGTAATAGTTATTTCCATAGCATTTGTACCAAGAGAAGATTTAAAATATGCACAAATAGTAGACCGTTGGACATAAGGGGCTTGAGCATCCAAGGTTTTTGTTATCCATGGAGGGCCTAGAACCATTATCCCACGTTAAGCAGTGGCTGGCTGGACTTAACTCAGGTGATTATATCTGGCATTTATAGTGAGGATGTTTTTGCCAAGTCACTCAGATTTATTTAACTAAAGAAGCCAGAGTGAATTCTCTTCTCTGGCTAGAACATTCTGTCTTTCTGATAGCGATGACTTTTGTAAGGAGGTAGATGGATCTGTTCATTTGCTTGACTGTGGCAATTATTTCACCAAGCATATGGCATAAAAATATCATTCTTATACCTTAAACATATTACAGAAAAATATAATAGAGAAATATTTGGGAACTGCAGAGATGGCTCAGTGGTTGAAGCATGGAGTGCTCTTGCAGAAGACCTGAGTTCGGATCTCAGCACCCACAGCACAATGGGCAGTATACAGTTGCCTGTAACTTCAGCTCCAGAGAATCTGATGCTCTTTTCTGAACTCCATGGGCACATGCACTCACACATACACAAACCCACAAGCACACACACATACATGTACATGGAATGAAAACTAAAATAATTTTTTAAGAGAAATACTTTTGAAAGAGGCAGTTAAAAAAGGAAGTTCTATCATATAATAACACCTGAGATAATGAATACCTGTACAGCATTTGTATGCATCATTAATCCATTAACAATGCCATCTTGAGATAATCTACCTATAGCCATAGATAGTTGGGTAATTTCATAACTTCACCTGAACACTCCAAAGTTCACATACTCGAAACAAAAATCATGTCACTTTAAAAATCTGGGTGAAATATGGTTATCTATAAGAATATTTAAAAACACAATCTTCAAAGTATATGTACTATCTATTTTTTTTTACAAAATTCTTTTAACAAAACTATGTCAACTTTTATAAATTTTTAGGAATCATGTGTACTGGACAAAGCAAGAAAGATAGTTTTTCTAATTTTTTAGTTAAATGTTTATATAACAGTCCTTATTAGAATAACTTTCATTAAATTTGGTTCTAGAACATACAAAGACTTTCTTTTTTAAAATAGTAAGCTCCCAGGCATGGTGGCACATGCCATTAACCCTAGCACTTGGGCAGCAAAAGCAGGCAGATCTCAGTGAGCTCTAGGACAGCCTGGTCTACATAGTGAATTCCAGGACAGCCAGGGCTACACAGAGGAAACCCCACCTCAAAAAATAAAATAAAAAAGAAATCATTTTTTAAAATAGTAAACTATTCTTTATCCCCATCAAATTACTATATTCAATATAGTAAGAGAAAATAAACAAATCTGTCATGCCCAAGTTTATCTGACTACAAGTTTCCGTGAAAGAAATAACATTTCCATGGGAAGAAAGAAGATGTGTCTTCATCAAGTTGAGGAACATTGCTTGGCTTTCTTCTACTCTTGTGTCTCTGGCTGTCTAGTGTTTTAGTTTGCATGGGAGATGGGGAACAGCCTCATCTTCTGTAGTTATAGGCTTATTACCATGTTAGGAGGTTAACGTGACTAGCCATTGTGTGTCCCATGAGCACTTTGTGTAACATCCTTAGTTATTCAATATTAGTTATCCTAATATTCTGATGTTTCCATACTCTCCTGAGGGATTCTAAATCTAGTCAAGTTGACTCTGACTATTATCCATCACAGAGAGGAATCTGCTGACTGGGAGTCTGAGTAGAAAGAGTGTAAAGGAGAGAGAAGCTATCCTTAAAGGTATAGCAGGGTAAGTGTCTCAGAGTTTTAGAGATTTCCATTGTACCCTCTTCACTTCAGGCCCTGCACCAAAGAAAAATACGCAAGCTTGCCAGGCGATTCCATAAGGCTGGCTTAACATTGACCTTGGAACATGATCTTGATAGCTCACTAAAAGAACAGGCTGCTCCCAGTTTAGAAAATAGATACAATAATCCAGAACAGAAAATAGAGCAAGATGAAACAGCACAGTGAAACAAAAAAGTGGTGCTGTAGGGAGTGAAGGGATGGTGCCACACAAGGGTACCATCACTATGGAAATGCCATGCTCTCCAGTAATTGATACAATTGATGAAGAGGAGTTATATTGACTTCAATTGCATCTACACCAAAGCAATGAAAATATGTTTCTTTACCTCATAATCACAATCTCAAAACTGTGCTACTTAGGTTTGTCTTTTGTTTTGTCAAATTGACACAAGCATCTGGGAAGAGTGAACCTCAATTGAAGAGTTGCCTCTATCATATTGGCCTATAGGCAAGTCTGTGGGGACATTTTCTTGATTAATAGTTGATATGGAAGGGACCAGCCTACTGTGGGTGTTACCATCCCTAGGCAGGTAGTCCAGGGTGTATAAGAAAACAGACTGAGCAAGCTATGGAGAGTAAGCAAGTAAGCATCATTCCATCATGACTTCTGCTTCAGTTCTTGCCTCCAGGTTTCTGATTGAGTTCCTGCCTTCCTGTCATGATGGACTATAAGCTGTCAGCTTAAATAAAACCTTTCTTTCTCAAGTTGCTATTGGTCACAGCATTTTTATCACAGCAACAGAAAGCAAACTAAGATAAAACAAGAAGTATATTTACACCAAACACAAATAGACAACAGGCAATATTTAAAATATATGACAATAATAGTCCTGATTAATTTCCCTTTCTAGATACCATAAACTAGCTATTATATATGAACCTTTATACTCAAAAGAAATTTAAATTCTAGAAAAAAGTTTAACAGGTTAAAAAAAATTAGAGTATTCTACTTCCCCTGAGACACTTCCCAGCTTCAGAAAGTTCAGATTTTCTTTTGGTTGTCTTTAAGGAGTGAGAAGAGAAATTAAAATGTAACAATCATAAAGAAATGTCTCAAAGTGCTAGTTATCAGGATCATGTTAGTGTGAGCTATAAGTGAAATAGTCCATGTAAAGTATTACATCCATGCAATAATCACTGAGTGTATCCAAGGAGCTTCAAAACTAAAGTGGTCCAAGATTAGAGGTAGTCCTTAGATCCTGACAGAATGGAGCAAGAATTATTTCCAGAGGAAAGTACCACCCTCCAGCCCTCAAATTCGACATCTTCTTTCTAATACAATGAATAGTGGTTACTCAAAGATAACTAGACACACAATGAAGAAAACCCACGGTCAATAGACAATAGAAGCATCCTTGCAACTGAGTCCCATGTTAGACAAAGGGAAGCAGAAGTTGCTTCAGGGACCTCTGCAGGCCTTTCTGACTCACAGTGGCCACCACACCCCTTATCTATACATTCACTCATCTGTACTCACACTAACCTCCTGGATGCTCCTCCAACAGACCATGTCTACACCCTCATCTCAGAGACTTCATCTAGTAATCTTCCAGCATGTATCTTCATAGCCTCGCCTGTCATCATACCCAGACCTCTGCCCAGTTGTCTTTGTCTCCGTTAAACTCAACCGCTCTATTCAAACTGGAATCTTTCTTCTAAGGTCCGACTGTGTGTCTCATTCCTGGCTTTATGTTTATTATTTTTTTGTCATAGTTGACACAGTCCACACACAGTATACATTCTCTCTCTGATTTTATTCTCTGTCCTTTCTCACCAGAATGGAAGCTCTTTGACATCAGGGAAGGTCTCCTATTTTGCTTGCTTGTTGTTTCCACGGGGCCTAGGCTAGTACTTGATATTCAGATGCTCAACATGGGTTTGTAAAATGAATGAGTGAATTCTAATAAAGTGCTTAGAAGAGGGCCTGGCTCAAATTAATCATGTAATCACATTAGCTATTATTATAACTGTTTAAAATGCAGAAAAATATATTGAACTGGTATAGATGGGCTATAATTCTGCATTACTTTCCATTAAAGTAATCGCCATCAATGAACTGGTCTTTTCCTGGTACATTTTATGAAAATTATTTCAGTTGTGGGAAGGACTTGTAAGCATTTCTCTTTTATACAAACAAACAAACAAACAAACAAACAAAAAAACCAAAGGAAGTATTCTGCTTTTTACATGATACATGGGAAAACACAAACTCCCAGGGTTTAATCCAGTGGTTTTTGGAACAGAAAATAGCTTCAAATACTGGTACAAGTATATAGACATAGATAGAAATGTAACATTATGTCACAGTGACTTTTCTATTGCTGTGATAAAAATGCTATGACAAAGGTAGTTTATGAAAGATAACATTTAACTTGGGGCTTATAGTTTCAGAGAGGTAGAATCCACGATGGTGGAGCAAAAGCATGCTAGGAATAGCTGAACTTACATCTTGATTCACAAGTTGGAAGCAGAGAGAGAGAGAGTGACAGAGGGAATAGCCTTTTGAAACCCCAAAGCCTGCCCCCAGTGACACACTTCCTCAAAAAGCCACACCTCCTAATTTTTCTCAAACAGTTCCTTCAAGTCGGGATCAAGTAGTCAACCATGTGAGGCTATGGGAGCTGTTCTCATTGAAATCACCACACACTACAAGTACATGCTATGTTCATAAATTCATCACCAGTGGGTCTTCCCCAAATAATCCCAAGCACAAGACACTCACAGCATTTCCGTTTTCAATCCAGCTGATGGTGGGGACAGGGATGCCTATTGCTGTGCAGCGTAGGGTTACAAAGGAACCAAAGGTGACATTGTGGGACTCAGGAGCACGCAGGATTCTTGCAAAAACTGTTAGGAAGACAAAGAGCATGAGAGATTGTTCCTTATGAAATGGCTAAGCAAGATAGGACTTTCAAAACTGCAGTCACGTGATATGCCCCTGAGTGTGATCAACCCTTCAGTGTTGCTGGGCTTGGCCTCCAGGCTCTTTGGTCTATGATCTTGCTTTTCTCACCACCCCAGGCCACACTGAGCTTATTTCCAACATAGAAGTGTATATTTGTTATTTCCCAGTCTAGAACATTCATGCTCACGTCTTCATGTGATGGGTTCCTTATATGTATAACTCAGGTCTCATTTTAAAGGACATTTTCTTAGACCGTAGTCATCCAACACATAGTACATCTTTGTCATTCTATTGTATGATCTTTACACATCCACTGCTATCTGATATTCCCTCAGTCAGTTCCTACTTATCTGTTCTTCAGTTCCCACATTAGATTGTCTTAGCCTGTTTTGTTCACTACTGGATTAAGTGCCCAGAGGCATTCAGGATCAAAATGAACACAGGACACTATTTTAGTGAATTAAAGAAATGATTAATGTTTTTTACCCTTAACTCTATCATAGCATAGCAGGGAGAATAAATCCAAATATATCATACATTTCAGAGAGTTGGATGATATACTGGAGAAAAGGAAAGGGATATTTTAGATACATGTGAGGAGGAGGATTAGCCATTTGCATTCCTTAAGGTTACAATCTTCGCCGATTTAAAAAAAAATCAGTTCTTCGGATTTAGCAGTTTTATCTTGAATTAAAGAGAGAGGTGGAAACTCAGAATGAACTGGAGAGCACAGTATACAAGATTGGCTAGATTTCTGCTCTTCTTTATAAACTGAATCCCCATTAATTTTATTTATTTCCTCAGAGTAAAAACAGGGATGGTAATAAGCTTGGTCTTAGGTCTTCTGATGTCAAATCCAATGTTCTTTTAAACTATTATGAAATCTTTTTGTTTTCCTATTATATTGTCAACATATTTTATGCTCTCTTCTGTTGTTTTCTAGGGCATGAGCCCAGAGCATGACAGGGATTCTAAACCCCAGTTAGCACAGCACTTTGAAACTTCGTTCTTCTAGTTAACCGAAATCCATGGAGTTTGCGTGGACAAGGCAGGAAACACACAGAACAATAATAGCAAGGCTAGAGCTTGGCAGGAGTATTTCTGACTTTCGAGAAACTCTTTATAAGGTTACATAATTCAAAGGTATAAAAATGTGATCTTTCTTGACAATGGGTCTTCAGTGCAAAATTGAATTAACTTGGCTTCCTATCTTTTGATATTGAAGACTCCAAGACATGCATTATTTATAACATCATTTGGGCTGATTGCAAAATCTCTGATGGTCTATTTAAATATGTAAATGTTGTATGCAAAAGCCAGGAGGAGAACGGAAAAGTGTCATCTTCAAAAACAACAGTGGTTAAGAAATAAGAAGTTTCAAAAAATGTGTTGAATGTTTAGCATGAAGTTGAACCTGCCTCTTAAAACCAAAATTGAGGGCTAGAGATGTAGTTCAACTGGTAGAGTGATTGCCTAGGCTATACAAAGCCCTGGGTTCAGTCTCTAGCACCATAAAAACCAGATGCTGTAATAGCACATGTCTGTAATCCCGTCACTGGGGAGGTGGAGGCAGGAGGATTTGGAGTCTAAAGTCTTCCTCAGCTACAGGGGAATTTGAGGCCATCCTGGACCACATGAGATGATGTCTAATAATAATAATAATAATAATAATAATAATAATAATAATAATAACAAACACAACAATATCCTGGCTTTAGAAAATCCTGAGGTCTAGTTAAACATGCAACAAGAATCGGAGTTCAGGAACACAGGAAACAATGCCCTGGAGATCATGTCTGTCAAACCCAGAATGCAGAAAACTTAAAATGGTAGATTATTTAGTTGCCTCGATCAATAAGTAGCAGAAGGAAAGCGATGTATTACAGGCTGAGGGAGGTTTAAGGACAGTATCTCCCAAGCGCTCTTTTGGATTCTTGTTTGCTGAACTTAATCCTAGTTCACAGGCCGTGTGCTTTTGATGGCCAGCCCTAGGCTGAGAGGCATCCTAGCAGGGGGCATCTACATACTCTTCTTGTTCTTAGTGATAGCAATCGAGACCTAGGCCAGGCCCACATCTGATCCCATTTGTCACATGTGGATGGGGTAGTGCATGCAGGGATTGGCACTGCAAATTTTGAGTTGAGTCACTGTAATCAGTACCACATGGCGTCCACGGCCTCTGAGCACTGAAAACAGGGAGATGCTTGAGACTTGGAGTTGCATCATTTTGGTCTCGTTCATACCAGAAAAGTACTCTAATGACTTGACTGTGCCCTTGGATTTGAAATGAGGGCCTTTTGGATGGAGATTAGGACAATAAAGAAAATGGAGAAATAGGGAATCTAGATTCCTTCTACTGTTTTGATTTATAGAAACAAATGTTTTAATTGGGGAACTTGGAATTCTTCTTGGAAATTCAGTAGCCAGGGTGGGTGTATTGTGTTCTGATTCACAGCTTTTCTTTTCCTTTTGGCTGCTAATGCATCATGTGGGTTGTCATTTAGGCTCATTGCAAAACCCTTGATGATCCATCCATACTGCACAACACAGCTAGTCATGAAGTGAGATGGTGAATAGACCAGCCAGCTGTTCGTGCACAGTTCATCATGATTTTGAACTTAATTGATTCCCTGTACTGCCTCATCCCCAACTTTCTATGGGCTCCATTTGGGTACATGTGATGGGTACTGTTGGCCATTTAAGTAGTAGCTCTATGAATGTAAAACTGCTAATAAAGTTATTTGCTTTCTCCAAAGTGGGCTTCATCATTCAGTGCAGTGAGAGAAGAAAGTGACTGGGGATTACAGTGAAGCGGCTCCATGCCACTCTCTTGGGTTCTCTCCGAGAGGTAGGACTCAGCTCTCCCTTTGCAGTATTGACAGACAGCTTCGACCCTTCCCTTCCCTTTTCCTCTACTCCCAAAGGGGCTTCTAAATGCCATTCATGTCTTTTGGTTTGCACTGAGTTGTCTTGTTATCATACTGTCCTTCATGCCTCCTCAGTCTGTTTATGTTTCATCATATACTTAGTACCACTGACACCTGTGGATCCCTTTATTTATGTGTATTTTGATTGTCCCTCTCCATGCAATGGAAACATAGCAATGTCTGGCTTTGTTTTGTTCATTATTGCAGGCTGATTTTATATATATATATGTTAGTCTGTGTCTATCTCCAGATGTGCCCTGGGACAGGCTATGTAATCAATTAATATTTATTAAATGAGGGAGTGAGTAGATGAGTGAGTGAATGAGCAGGTGAGTGAGTGAGTGAGTGATTTTTCTGGTGAGATCAGGCAAATGAAGTTCTCTATAATATGTGCATCTCAGCCTGGCTGGACCACCATTCTCTTGGGTGCCCTACCTAAATGAAGGGAGAGAGCTTGCCATGCGGTTGAAAGCTTACCAGATCAGGACTTCTCCACCCAAACATTAAGACGTGAGATGTGAAAGGTTGGGAAGGTAAGAATGAAAAGCAGAAGTTATATGAGTCTCCTTGTTAGTTGGGCCAGAGAGCTTTGTTTTTGAATTCAGCTTTATCAGCAGTGAAGCGCACATGTTTTTGCCCTTCTGTATTTGTTTCCAGTTCTAAATGTGAAAGGTGAAGATGGCTGAGAGAAATTCCAACCATTTAACAGCCGCTGACAACAATCCTAGCAGCTGCAATCAACAATACAAGTCAGGCTAACTTCATCCCCTGCGATAATGAACTTGGATATAGTTCGATAGCAAATCCCATTGCCTTAGTGGGTAGCCACAAGCTGAAATGCGTTCTAGGTCATCTGTCCAAAGCACAATGTGATCCGTTTCTTAGCCAATAAAATGCGCGTCAAATGTCTTCATTTTGTAGTTTATTTTTATGTCAGAAAATATGTTTTGTTATATAAACAAATAAACTGCTGAACAGAAGTTTGAAATTATTTAATAATTTTGGGGAAACTTTGTAAGTATTCTGACATTATACCGCTCCTCTTGCTACTGATAATCTTATTTATCATTGTCCAACTCACTAGTCTCTCTTTTTTATTCACGTCCCTATGGGCAAGTATGCTATTATTCACCAGCTACATGAAAAACAGGCATAGGCAATATTTAACCCCTGGTTTTCTCTTAGGGAACTAGTCACATGCTTTGGACTTTATATCTCTTGGGCAAATTTGCGGGCTTATCAGAAGGTTGGAAACCCAACATCAAAACTGTATTCAAGGGGCCAGCGATGTCCATGTTGTTTATAACAAACACAGCTATAGTCCTTCTGGCCTCACCCTGAGCACCTGCCACCTGTTTTTCAAATTACTTTCAGATCCATAGTCAGCCCTATGGTTGTCCTTTTTTTTTTTTTTTTTTTTTTTTTTTTTTTTTTTTTTTTTTTTTTTCGAGACAGGGTTTCTCTGCGTAGCTTTGCGCCTTTCCTGGAGCTCACTTGGTAGCCCAGGCTGGCCTCGAACTCACAGAGATCCGCCTGGCTCTGCCTCCCGAGTGCTGGGATTAAAGGCGTGCGCCACCACCGCCCGGCCTGGTTGTCCTTTTAAAGGGTGATATGTATTTCGGAGATAAGGCCATTGTATGGTCCAAAATTGTTCTTGTAAAGCCATGGAAAACTCAGGGAACAGGAGACCTAGACAAAGTCCAGAAATAACAGACGTCCTAGTGGCTAGAATGTAGCCCCTTCTTGGGTAGAGGGCAGTTCCAGAGGATTTCTCAAGTTTGGGCTGTTTTTATTTCTGAGGGTTCTTTCAAAGGATACAATGAGATCTCATGAGTTTTATTTTCTCTTACTCTTTCCCTTCTGTATTATTTCCTACCCTCCCTTGAAGATGCTTTTTGTTTGTTTTGTTTTGCTTTAAGGTTTCAAACCACCCGTGGCTAGCAGGAATAAAGGGAAGAGGGAGAAGACTGAAAACTGACCCAGAGTACGAGGTGGGATGCCTTTACTTGATTTGTGTTGTAAACAACCTAGTTTCTAGAAAAAGGAAAACATTTCAAATACGGATTAAACACCTCTTATGATTTAAATCTAAGTGTCCTCCACGTGTTCACATGATCGAACCCTTTGTCTGCAACTGCTAAAACTGCTTTGGGAGCTTTGGGATTCTTCTTTTGAAGAGGTATTTTTTTATTTTAATTATGTGTACATGTGTGGGTATGTGTATAGGATGTGCTCCTATGATTGCAGGTGCCTGAGGAATCCAGAAAAGGATGTCAGATCCCCTGGTGCTGGAGCTAGAGGCAGTCGTGAACCTCCCAATACGAATGAAAGTTGGGTCTTCTGTAAAAGCAATGCATGCTCTTAACCACTGAGCGATCTCTCAGGCCCAGGGTCTGGATTCTTAAGGACATGTAGGTTAGCTAGCAGAACTAGGTCACTGGGGGCAGACCTTGAAGACAGGCTGCGTTTTGTGATGCTGGTTCAAGCCCTCTGCTTCCTGATCCACCATGAGGTGAGGGACTGTCATCTCACACTCTTGCAGCTACAGATGGAGTACAGCAGCCATGATGTCTTCCCTGCGGAGATGATTTGCATCCCCTGGATCTCTAGGCAAGTGAACCCTCTCCTGCTTAAGGCTGCATCGGTCAGTTATCTTGTCATGGCAGTGAGATGAATAGCTAATACAGTGTCCCTCATCTGAAATTTTAAAATCTAAAACTTTTGCAATGCCAACTTGATTCTCAACGAGTTTCCATTTTGAAGCATGCTAGATCGAATTCAGGTCTTCAGATTTAGAATGCCCAGCCGCTCAAGTCTGAGCAAACAGTCCAGAATCTGAAAAACTGAAACCTGAAACACTTATGCTCCCAAGCATTTGAGGAAAAGGGTACTTAATCGATTATATCTGTGTCTGTAAAATGAGGAGACGTTGTTTTAAACAAGAGCAGCCTAAGATAGATTCTCTAGAACCAAACTGTGTGACCTGATGACGTGTGGTTTGTATGCTGAGATGATCAGAGTTTGGGTGACAAGAGCGCCAAGCCTAGCCTCACTGGGAGACAGGCACTTCTCATGATGGGAGACTTGTTGTACACGAGCAGTTTCCCAGACAAATTTCATTTCCAGCTGCTTTTTCTTCCTGAATATAGTTCACGAACTGTACATTTCCATGTCAATGAAAATAAAACCACTTTATTTTTATTGACTTAGAGAATGCATTAAACTCCTCATCGGACTGAAATGTTGGTAACCAAACACCTATGTCAGTCTTAACAGTTCTCCAAAATTTTAACACAGCCACCACCACCCCAAATACACTTCTGCTCCGACCTGTGTATGTTCATTCTCCTGCCCATTCTTTTTATTTTATTTCATGTTGCGATTTTAGAATTTGGACTGCATGATTCCAACATGTCTCTGGAGTCAATGTTCTCCTAAGAGATGTGATTGGTCCATAACCCCAGTCTACAGGGAAGCAGCCCTTCCTCAGGTATACTGTTTAAGGCTACGGCTTCTTCTTCCCACAGGGCAGTTATCAATTCTTGACAAAATAATAGCACTTTAGGTCAGGAAAATAAGCAACTGAAATACACTGTGCATGTAAAAAGAGGCGGCAAGGCAGAAATAAGGGGGGAAATACCTTTAGTGTCCTGCTCAGGTTCACTGTCTTCTGTTAATAGGAACGGGACAAAACGGACACACAGAGAACAACACAAACAAAACAATGCATCGTGAGAAAGGAGATCTTAGACGTCAACTGTGCACGACTCATTAGAATCAATTTGTTTCTTATTTCAATCAGAAACAAATGCCATGAAGGGAAAGTGCTGACCTTTTTTTGCAAGCAAACTTATCCCATGGCATAGGATTCCAAATTACTACTTGTAGTCAGGCAGTATTAAACAGAAAATAAACTACAGCATACCCGAAGACGTAGCTCACTCATGCATTTTTGTTTTAATGTGGACAAGGACAATTCCTCCTTTCTTTCAAGTCAACAGAGTCCCTACTATTCTAGTGAATTCTGTTCCTCTGCTAGCTTGGCTTCTCGTCTTACCAGGCCCTGCTGTGAAGTCAGTGGTGTGGACTGTGGGATCTCAGCTATCATTTCTATGGCAATAGACTCGTGTTGTGGTAAACAGGGGATTAGGGGGTTTCTGCAGAACCAAAGCCTACCACCAACAAAGATCTGCAGCTCTCATTAACCCCCAGAGGCAGCTCAGAGAATAGAGAAGAACAGAGCATTCTGGGAACAGATTAGCCAAGATTGCTCTGGGAGAAAATTTTTAAAAAAGAAGAAGAAAAAAAAGAAGGAAAAAACCCCAAAACTCTGAATTGGTTAGAAATAATTGAGAATTTGTGTACTTTTAGAAACTCTAGCCAAGGGTAAATAGAAAATAAATTAGTTGTTCTAAAACGTTTACTATGACCAAAACACATGCAAACACCCACACAGAACCCTAATTTCCCTTCCCAAAGGCTCATTTGTTCAAATCTATTTATACCTTTTTAAGAATTAACTAAAGATAAGCCAGTTGTAATATGTGTGTATATGGAAAAATAGTGATGCTGTTGGTAACCACTGTTTCTGACAGGAATAGCCTAGTATGGTTCTTCACAGATGGTGTATATTTCTGTACACGTCATACACCATTCACTGAGCTCTTGCCTGTACTTTTTTTTTTTTTGCAAGCAAACTTATGAGTGAACATTATTGATTTGCCTGGGCCTATTTTACAAATTAAAACAAAACAAAACAAAACAAAAAGACTCAGAGGTCTACTGCCAGGACAGAACCAGGAATGCAACATCTGCATTCAGGTTCAGACATGGCATCCTCTGCTTTAACTTGGTGTCATAGAAACATCTCCATTTCATACTACACACCCAATCCCCTTAAAGTGAAATGTGCATAAAATCTCCTATTAGATTTGACTCTGTCTGAACTCTCCTGCCTTCACCAAAGAAGTCAGTGGCATTTAGTTTTATGTTCTTGCTTTAAAAATCAAGACTAGAGGCTACTTACAATTTATAAATTAATGTTAATTACATTAAAGGATGAACCTTGAATCTAGATGGAGAATTGGGGTTTTTACGGCATTCCTAACAGTGCTAGGTAAAGCACCGAAGAAGCGTTTGTTTCTTCTGTAGTGGACACTTGGAAACTGGAGTCTCTGTTTTGCTTTTGCTGCATTTTTATTGTTTGGTTTGTTTAGGGACAAGGTCTCACTGTGTATCCTAGCCTCTGCCTGAACCCCGTCTTCCCATCCTGAATGCTAGCTCTTTAGGTATGCCCCACCACACCTAGGAAGAGTCTCTGAGTGTATCACAGACATTACCAGAGGAGATAAACAGAGGTTCATCTTTGGGCCACATTGTGTCTAACAAATTGTGAAAGGATGCCCCTGGCAGACACACACTGCAGCAAAACAAAACTAGCCAAAGAGATGTAACTGTCTGAGACTTGCTGTTTTCCAAAGAGCAAGCTTAAGGGGTTAGCCTGGGAGTTTTGTTTCATATGTCTACTATGGAAACTCCTTTCTATGTATGCATAGATGCAAATCTCCACAAATGGCTTACATGCTTTGACATTAACACACACACACATAAATACATGCATACATAACTGAGGTTATCTTAGAGATAAGTATGGAACACTAATCTATGAGAACCTATTGAAGCTTGTATGCACTCTGTGAGTCAGCTTAGTGGCCATTACAAGGCCAAATTGCAGTCCTAATTTCTCCATATGACCCAGATGTCTGTAGTGTTTCCTTGTGACTTCTGAACTTGTTTTCTGCCAATTTTGAAAATCCCACCTCATGGTCTTCATTCTGATTTAAATTCTCATCTAATTGCTCTACATGTTATGCTCTGTTTTATCTTCCAAATAGTTTTTAATCTTGGGGAAGGTATAATGTTAGAACTAGGGCAACAACAAACTTCTGTTGTTATTTTTTCTTCCTTGAAGTACAGAACTGTTTAAAATAAATAAAATACTACCATTTTTTAAAAGTTCTTTGTCAGTTGTTTAAGAGATGACTTGCCTTCTGCTTCCTTAGACTAGTTCAGGAGGGCAGTTAGGATGGACAACCAGTGCCTGCCTTGACTGACATGGTCTATTCACTTTATTTCAACAACTAAGTTCAGTATCAGTCGACTATTTTCTTCAGTATGTTCATTAATAGTGAACTCAAGATCATTTCAGCAAACTATTTTGACCAACTCTTTTAAAAAAAGAGGAGAGAAATATACTCTAAATCAGTCTCCTTATAATTACTACCCATAAGACCCATTTCCCACTTCTACCTACTGGGCAAGAATTGAAAAAATTTCCAGTGAATTTTTTCATGTTTCCAGATGTAATAGCCACAGCTCCTCAATCTGATTGTTAATTTTTTGAACTTCCTTAGTTCTTCTTATCTTTAGTTACTTGGAATTCACTAATATACATGATGAGTCTAGTAACTCTAAGGAAAAGAAGCATTCTACACACTTTATGTCTGTGGATATAAATCTGCATGCTTTTATTTGAAGTTGTATGATACAGTCAGCCAACCGATGCCACTGAAGATCGCAAATATCCTCCACTCAATTTCATTCTTTTACTTATTAAGGTCTATCTCCCCAAATTCATCTATGCATGTTCATTTGTAAGATTATTCATCAGTTCATGGAATGAGGAGAAAATTGGAAGGGTTATCAAATGTTATGCAGGAAGAAGAAAAGTGAAGATCCCCTGAGAAAAGACTAAAGGGACAAATGGTAAAATCACACAAGGCCATGTGGACCCTGTGGAGTGAATGAAGAACCAGAAGAAAGCAGACTGAAATGGATGGATAGCCTGAAGTCTTCTGGCCACAAGAGTGAGAGGAGCCAAAAAGATAACAGGAATTCGACTAGTAAAGTTGAGGCCTCAGAGAGCTGAACATACACATTCTCTCTTCCTGGTTGGATGGCACTGAGACCTCATGTTTCTGGGAAGAAATTATCACACACACACAAAAAGATGTAAGAAAAGAAGGCAGAGAGCGCTTGGAGGAAAAGCCAGTTGTGGCCTGGCCAGCTCTGTTGGAAAGTGTTAGGTATTTTAGAGAAGTTTGAGCAATAGCAAAGTCCTGAAATCATGAAGGGAAAGAGTCTGACATGTGTGTGAGATGCTACTTTGAACGTGAGCATTTCGGAGTTTCCAGTTCTCCTAGTCCTTTTCTTAGCTCAGTGACTAGGACCCAATCAATGAAAGGGATGCAGCACATAGCAACGGTACAGAAGTTAAAGCAGCCTCTCGGTCTAGGCTACCTGGTTACAAGTCCATGCTGTACAAAAGACTCATAATGGGTGTTTCTACTATAAAAGATGCTAGTGTGTGTGTGTATGTGTGTGTGTGTGTGTGTGTGTGTGTGTCTGTGTTTGTACTTTCGTTACCTGTACATATGCCAACTAAAGTACACTGTTTTCTAGATGGATAAAAAGCACACCTTTAACCAGTACTTCCTTTACTCTTTTCAAACAATAATACACATCCCCACTTCTTACTCAGTCTGTGAAATAGAATTTTCATGAGGCTGGAATTGCATCTCAGCCCTTTCACTAGGGTCAAATGTATATAATGATACATAAACATTACATGGAGACTATATTCAAGGCAGTGCTGGGTTCACAGTGCAAAATCATCTCATTAGAACAAACACACAGCAGTAGTAGAGAGGATGTCAACACTAAACTAGTATCTCAGCCAATAAGAAGATAGGCAGAACACAATAGATAGGCAGGAACTGTTGAGTCTTGATTCTCTAAATAGCAATTGAGGTCTGATTTAGATGATAGGTAGATAGATAGATAGATAGATAGATAGATAGATAGATAGATAGATAGATAGATAGATAGATAGAAAGTAGTGTCCACCTGAGGTTGGAAGTAGCTCATTGCTTGAAAACAAAGGCAAGGATGAGATGCCCCTCCTTTTGAAAGGAAGGGGGAACACGCACAGTATTGCAGAATTCAGGTGCCTGTGGGACTTTTGGGTTGGACTCCAGAACATTACAGACTGGGGCCCTAAATTCTACTTATAACATCTTTATTAGGAAGAAGTAACTGGGAAACTTTCTGAGGGCAACCTTCAAAATTATTGGAAAAGAAAAAAAATATCTTAAAGGAAGACTAATTAGGAGTGATGATCCATAATTTCATAGGACATTGGGAATAAAAATGCTAAGAAATCCAATGCAAGTAGTAATTAGATAATAAATCACTCTGGAAGAAAATAAAGCATTATGAAAAGATAGTACAAACCTCAGTGAATAAACCATAGCATTAAAAACAATGGGCAGTGATGAGAGGAAAGGCCAAGTTCAAGCACAAATTCGTAATACTGAAGAAAGCAATACAAATGCTAGAAATCAAAACAGAATGGAAGTTTTCAAAAGAAAAAATAGAACAGCTAAAATTCATGTACCAACGACACATATAATAAATTTGGACTTGGACAAGCCAATTGAAGAATCACCGAGAAAGAAGTTGACACTTAAGAAATCATGAAGCCCTCGGTGCTTACAGAGAGGGAGGGGAAACAATGAAAGACCTGGAAAGATGGTGGAAGAGATTCGCGGGTCTCCTGACATCACAAGAGTGTGAAAGACTTAGAAGAGGGGCAGGGCAGAGAGGCAGTGT